CTGCAGAGCAGTTAACAAGCAATTTCCAAAAGTGATTAGAAAAGGAAGTATGCGAACCCAGTGTCCTTTGAAAGGCTCCAACTGCAGTTTGAGCAAGATGGCTATTCCCTCATCTCCCAGAGCTCTAAACCCACCAGAGACTGCTGTCTTGTGATCTCTTCATGAGGAGCAACTGTCTGGAGCACTTGTGGGCAATATCAATTCCTTTCCTTCTCTGGAGAGGAATTATTGAAGAACCAGTCTAGTCACCGCGGTCGTCAGTTCCACTTTCCCCGGAGCTGTCTTCAATCCACCATTTCTTCCCCAGAATTCACAGAGTATATATTTTCGTGAAGAATTATGGGCTGCAGAATGTGGCATACTTGACATTTTATGGGCCAAGTCTGGCAGGAACATACTGCAACTTTTTTGTTATTATTATTGTACTGGTTACACTATTATATATCTTTTGGGAGTTAATTGTTCTGAATCCAACCAGATATAAATGGATGGATAAATAATTGGTAAGCCCTGATAGGTACTTTTAATCTCCCACAGACATGATATTATTCAGCAGTCTCCATTGCTATAACAGCTGGACACGTTGTTTGAAGTTTCATTTTCCTAATATTTGAAGCAATGATAGTTAAGATCTAAAAAGTGGAATTTAGGACAGTCATGATATAAATGTTCCCAACTTCTCCTCTACAGTATTTTCATAATTAATTTCATATATCTGAAGCAAATAACTTTTTAAAACTAATATAAACTTACTCTTAATCTTTGGAAAGTTGTATTCTAGCTCTTGTTAGAATCCAGGTCTTACCATTTCTCATCATTGGCTATGCTAGCTAGGGGTAATGGAAACTGAAACTCCACAACTTTTGGAGAGCCACGTTGCTCCTCCTTGAGGTATAGAATCCAATCAAACTTGACTTTGCTAAACTGAAGGTCATTAATTTCACTTTTTCAATCAAGTTGATTTCATGCAATATTGCAGAGGTGGACTATTGTTGTTGAGGAGAAAAGTTCTGGATACGTTCAGCTAAATAGTATCACACATAAGTTTTCCTCTGTAGATCTTAATAATAAGTAGAAAGTTCAAAGTTCTGATATAATTTGGGATTAAAGGAATTATAGAACTTTATCAAGAAGGATTTAGTCTTGAGCTTCTCATTCATACTGTACGGTACAGGTAGTGCTCGGGTTATGACCCTAATTGGGACCGGAATTTCCATCACTAAGTGCAACAGTCATTAAGCAAAACATCATATGACCACTTAGCGACTGCAGTTCTTCTTGCAGTTGTTGGGCGAGGACCTCATGCTTCTCCTGCCCTGAGCAAACTGCCTCTGCTTTAACTCCCCCCACCTGCATCTCTCCTCCCCAGCACTCCACTGCCTACTTCT